AGGCTATCAAATACAAGTACAGAAGCAGCAGTATGATCGCTAAAAATAGGATTCGGAGGATATCACAGCCACACTGTGGTTGTTTATCAAACAGTCTCATATCAAACAAATTCATAATAAAAATTGACATTATTTATTAACAATTCTCTTTATGAAAAACAAAAAAAACTTTACAGGCACAGGTAAGTGCCATATGGTGTGTGCCCACATCAGTAGTGGCATATATAGATGTTTTAACAATATATTACATGGTTAATAGTTGATCATTGTGCACAGCTACAGAAAAAATAGAAACTCACTGATTTACAAACCGATAAAGTTCTCTGATTCAGACTTTAATCAGAATGAAAGCTGCAGACCCGATGCTACGTTATTAAACTCACTTATTCCATTTCTGTTGGTGGGTTGGCCATATTGAATTAAATTGAGAATCATTTTGGAATATGATTGTGATCTGAAATTGAAAACGTGAGGTGCCTAAAGATACCAATCCCTACTTAATACACCACATGGAATGGTTATATTTTGTGCCTGAAAACTTTTATAGCAATTACTTGTGGACTTTCTAAACATTTCTAAGCTATGTGGAAGCTGCTGCTAAATTTCAAGAATTAGCAGAGCCTGATGCAACAGTTTAATTGTTCTAGGTATCTTTCTGTCATCTTTGTGCAGGCTGCAGATTAGATTTACTCCTCAAACACTGTTGAATGACTGATGAATGCTAACGATCCTTTACTGTCAGGACTGCTGGGATGTCAAGGACGAGTCCTTTTCCATCATGAATGGAGCTCTTGATGAAAAGCTTAGCAGTGAACTAGGATTGCTGTGGTTAGCATCTCTAAGTGCGAGGAGATAAAACTGTCTGTATGAACCGCAGAAACATTCAGAAAAGTACGATCCCAGCATATGTGCTCAGGGACAAGGGTAGCACTCAGTGCATGTTTTAGTCTGAGATCTCCCAGCACAAGCTCACACAGGAGCAGGGAGATCTGTGGGGACGTGTTCTTTGATAATGCTGATATAGTGGGAGCAGGGTCCCAGGAGCCACACAGAGAGCCGGTGAAATGGAGAAGGGTCCAGAGGGTATTCCATGCCAAAGGGAACCCAAAGCAGGTGGGATGGGAGTATGTGTGTCCTCATGTAGCAGGAAGCGTACGAGGGGAGGAGGGACAACATGACATGACATTCACTCGTTAAGAGCCTGGCACTGCCTGCGGCCTGCTAATTTATGCAAATGAAGGTTACTGACTCCTGGGAGCTGGGATGTCGGGGGGTGGGTGCTGTCAGAGTTCGGCTGGCAGCCAACGGCGTGCAGTAAAAACAGTGCCGCTGCTGCGGTGGTGGTGACGGCTTGTGGGGCTGGAAAGTTCTGCAAAGCGCCACAGGAGCGGAAGCAGGGAGCGCCGTGCCAGAACAACGTACCCCGTTAGTTGCCTGGCAAGGCGGGCAGAGAAGTGACCAATCAGGGGCACGCTGCCTCCTCTACCCTGGCCGAATGGCATCACCCTCACGGCCCTCCCCTCGCTCGCGCTCCTCCTCTCCACCCCGTCACTCCGGTTGCCCGGGATGATTTTATAAACATTTTGCTAGCCGATCAATAGCCATATTGATCAGGCATTGTGAGAGTGATCCGTCTAAAACCCCCAGCAGCCTGCAGCTCTAAGAGAGGGAGGAGCGAGGGAAAGGGAGAGAGAGGCT